AGTAGATGAGTACGAATGAACACAGCAGCATGAAATAATCAGCAGCATGAAACAATCAGCAACATGAAATAATCAGCAGCACGAACATGAGTCTGTGTGAGTAGATGTGTACGAATGAATACAGCAGCATGAGATCAGCAGCACATAACAATCAAAAGTGGCATGACGTTGATTTTTTTTTCCTTTCACAGTGATAATCCGTGAGATTCCATGTTGGAATGACTGGAATTATTTTTCTTTCATAGGAACATTTTGCTTTGCCAAAAAACTTGTAAGATTTTCTTAAAAACGAACAAACAAAAAACAACAACAAAACAAGGCAGAATTCAGTCTGTGTTAATTCATCTTCAGAATAGCTGAAGAAACTAAACCACTCCACTCTTTAAACTCCATAAATGTACATTTCAGGAGGCTTGGATTAAAAAAACGAACAAAAAAAACAGACTCAGATCAAACAAAACCATAAAATTAAGCATGGACGAGTTTAGTTAAAACTTCAAAGTGAAAATTCTGGGTCCAGTTCTGCTTTTGTTCTGAATATTAAATTAAACTTTTGAATTAAAGTAACTTCATGTTGTTTCAGAGGTGCATCCTAAAACGGACTAAAAATGTATTTAATGTTTAATTAATTCATTAAATAATTAATATTGTAATTATCTTTTGAATAGGTCGCAGCAATTGAAGGTTGACTCATACTTCACAGTTTCTTCCGGTTATGTCAGGTGTACCCCAAGGCTCCGTTCTTGGTCCACCTGTTGTCTTCACATTTATAAATGATATCTTGCATTCTGTTAGTGAGGCCTCCATTCATGTATGCCGATGACACTCTTTTAAATGCTTTTGGTTCTACTCCGGATGAAAGTGTGATGTCACTTGCATATGGTTTTCTTGAAACCCAGCAGGCTTTTACTGACTTAAATTAGTCCTTAAATGTTAAAAAAAATCTAATTCTGTGGTTCAGTCGTGGGGGAAGAACCGTACCCACCTTGTTGGATTTCACCACTGTAACAGTGATATTATAGAAGAGGTCACAGTTTATAAAGATTTGTGACTGGGATTGATGGAGCTCTGTCCTTTTCACATCGTGTTAGTGTCTTACAATCTAGGGTTAAAGCCAGACTTCGTTATCTATATAGAAATTGATCATTGTTTACATTGGCTGCTAAACGCACCATTGGTGAAAACCGTTCTACTCTGTTGGATTATGGAGACATAAGGGTGTCCTTCATAAACTCTGCTGTTGGCTTTGCTACAAATGTTCCTTGTAGAACATCGTGGTCACCTCTACTCTCGTTAAATGACCTCTCTACGTACTCGTGGTGAAATTCATTGGTTTAAGACGTTGCTGGTGATTCACCTCCACATTTAACTCATCTACTGCAACTGGCACCTGTTTGGAAGTAGAACAGCTGATCCTCTCAGTGTTTGTGGTTAAAACCTGTAAAGACCAGGTCTGGCTGGAATCTGCTTCAACAAACTTTGGGTCTGACCTCACTCGTCTCAGTTTCTATTTTTAAAAGTCGTGAAATTTGCAAATGTTTTCCTGCTTAGTTCCGTGATGTCTTTTGTTGCTGATGATGTTAAAGTTGTTTGTGTTTCCTGGTTTGTTATCGACTTCTGTATTTTATTTTACGTTTCTCTTCCCTTGACACTACAAGTTCCTGTTGGTGCTAAAAGTAAATAAAATTAAAATGAAATAAAAACAATCTTAGCTCCTCTGACAGTAAAAACAGCAACAGAGACCAAAGATCAGAGAATGACCAGATCTTCTGTGTTTCAGACCCACATTCCAGAGTGATCCTGAAGTCCAGGACCAGCAAGGACCTGCTGAGCTCCTACATGAACGCCAACTACATACGGGTCAGTACCAGCTGTCAGTCACTAACACCAACTACATACGGGTCAGTACCAGCTGTCAGTCACTAACACCAACTACATACGGGTCAGTACCAGCTGTCAATCATAAACTGAATTAACTGGGTTCTGGATCCAAGTGGCTGAAATGAGCTCCCTCAGTCGTTTGTAGGAGCTTGGAGTCAAGTCGCTGCTGCTCCTCGTTGAAAGGAGTCAGCTGAGGAGGTTCTGGTGTTTGACTTAGACCATCACGTCCCACTGAGTGGAGTCCCTGATACAGAATCAGAACTTTCGAGGGGTTTTATCTCCTCTCTGTTTTGGGAACACCTTGAGGTCTTGCAGGAGGAGCTGGAGAGCGTCACTGGGAGGAGGGAGGTCCTGGTTCTCCCTCTTGGACCTGGTGCCTCAGATGACCAGAGGGACGATCTGGATCCAGTTAGTGTATCAGTGTTTCACCTACCATTAAACAAGGAGGGCGCCCCGCCCTGTCGACAGACCTGAGCGCCCTGCCTATCGACCCCCCCCCATTGACCACTGCCAGCACTGATGTAGTTGCGTAATACAGACTCGCTAGCTATAAAAGCTACAGAGGTACCGTCTCCCTCACGGTGAGCCCCCTCCCCCTTATTATCATTAGATAATTTAATTTCAGTTTATTTCTTTAGCGGCAAGTCACAACAGAATCACCTCAGGGACTGAACAGAAACATTCATATTTAAAAATAATAATTAACATTATTTATCTGAGGAGCAGCTTTGAGTTTAACTCCATCACTGAACTCTCATCTTGAACAAGCATGAAGGCGACAGTGGAAAGAAAAACTCCCTCATGAGGAAGAAACCTTTAGCAGAACCAGGATCAGGACAAGAGGACCATCTGCTTCGACCGGCTGGGTTTGGTAGGAATAGATACACAATGGCAGGTCAAGAACCACATGTTAAGATAGAAATAGTATCAAATGAAAACTATTCAGTTTTACCAAATCATTTAAGGACATGAGGTCAGTTTGTCTCTAGTAGTCTAATCCTATAGCAGCATAACAAGCCGACCCTAACTATAGGATTTATGAAAAAGGAAATTGTTAAACTGGACAATGTGTCAGCCTCATGGACAGAAACTGGAAGTTGGTTCCACAAGAGAGGAGCCTGAGAACTGAAAGATCTTCCTCCCATTCTGCTTTAGGTAACTCTAGGAACCGCGAGTAAACCTGCAGTCTGAGATAAGTTTTGGATGTGTTTCAGTTCAGGTTCTGAAAGACTTCAGTTGTTCAGAGGTTTAAATGTTTTCTCTCGTGGATTTAAACCTGAATATTCAGACGTTTGAACAGTTTGGTGACTCAGAGGAAACTAAAACAATCTTAAATCTCCAGATTTCACTTGTTTAGATTTTTCCTCCTGGATTATTGAGCATGCATCAGGATTAAACAATCTTAGTTTACAGGTTGAACGTTTCCTAATGTGGGAGTATCCAGCAGAAGGTGGTTCTCGTCAGACTGAGGTGGACTCTGGTCAGGAGGAGCTGTTTTCATTAGATTTTATTTTTCACCTGCAGATTTATTTGTTGCCACGGTGATGCACTCTGATGGTTTTATTAAAACGCTGATCCTCTTCATAGTTCAGGCCAAAGGTTTGTTCGTTTTGCTTCATGTCAGATTCGTTCTCTCTGTGTTTTTGTGTGCACGTTCCGATGTTGTCACATTTGATCGTCTCACGCTGCGTCTAAAGAAGGATGTGTCTTTGCTTCATGACAACCCGCTCCGACTTGAGCGACCTTGAGTCCTGTTGGTCGTGACGTTCCTTCAGCTGCATTCTTTCTACACCCGAGTTAAAAATAAGAGAACATTCAGCGGCGTGTCGTTATCTCCCGTCTGGAATGTGGGCTGGTTTTTCCTCTTTGTTCTCTGGTTTCCGCGTGGACTCGCGGTGAAAGTGAACTCCTGCGGAGGTCTGCAGAGCCGCTCTCAGACTCTCACACAATAGACGGCCTTCCTGTCAGGAAGCTCTGCTGAAACCATTTAGGCCGCACTCCGTCTCGCCTCACAAATGAACTGGGACCAGTACATTTAGATCCAGGTGGAGACACTAAGGAACATGAAGTGGATCAGAACCGTCCATCTAAACAAACTAACGTTGTCTTGGTTGTTGTGGCTCCTCCCTCAGGGTTACCTAGGCAACAGCAAGGAGTTCATCGCCACTCAGGGCCCCATGGTGAACACGGTGAACGACTTCTGGCAGATGGCGTGGCAGGAGGAGGCGCCCGTCATCGTCATGATCACCAAACTGAAGGAGAAGAACGAGGTAACCAGAGCGGCGCCACGGCCCAGAAACCCTCACGTGACCTTCCAACACTGTTCCTCCTCGTCGCCTGCCGACATTAACCAAATTCAAGATGGCCGCTCCAGCTGATTGACCTTACCAAACACTGAAGTTAGTTTAACTCGATGCTTGTACAAATATCTAACTAAACTTTGTGTGGTAGTAGCTGAGAGTTGCCCCAACACATACTGTGAGAGCTAACGGAGAAGATCCTTGTTCCAAACTTTGGCATGAGAGGCGGCGGGCGATAAGCATTACGTCAAGAAATAATTTAAATTCTCCTGTGAAGCAGACAGACGACCGTTGTTCAGCCTCCCTGGAGATCTTTCTTACGCTGACTTGGTCGTCCAGTTCTCCGGTCGCTCTCGTCAGGTTTTCAGTTCTTCGACACTGAGTGACCAAACGAGCAACAGTTTTTCTCACAATGACTTTAAAATGTGAAAATCAGAGGAAGCAGGAGAGCAGCACTCGTTCTTAAGGAGCTCAGTGTTGAGCCGTAAGACCTTCAGGAAGCTCCTGATCTGATCCCCAGGATCCTCTTCTGGATCCGTTTCAGCTGCTTCTATCAAACCCTTCAAACATTTTTAACGTTTTTATCAAACTGTTTGTGGTCAAAGGGCTGGATGTCATGCCTCCTTGACAGATTTACTTTTATCGCCGTCGTTCACTTTAAAGTCCCGCCACACGACGACTTCTTCTTCTTCTTCTTCTTCTTCTTCTGGGGTTTATTGGTGGTTATCAAACATCTCAGGACAGTCAGGTTAAAGAAGACGATGGACGTTGCTCCACCTCCTTCTGAGCCTTATGCCACAAACTCCATCAGTACTGCAGTACAGAAACACTTTTCTAAGTACTAGTACTCTCAACACCTGAACTGATACTATCTGTATCAGTGTTCTAAGTACTAGTACTCTCAACACCTGATCTGATACTGTCTGTATCAGTGTTCTAAGTACTAGTACTCACAACACCTGATCTGATACTATCTGT